AATTTCGATGATCAAATATTGAATGACTTATTTTCGAATTTTTTTGAAATCAGAACCAAACAGTTTTAGGTGAAATTAGTTGAATTTAGATGAAAAAAATTAAAAAACAATGCAAAAAAAATTGAATAATATAAAATTGAAGAACTTTAAATTAAATTTAAAACTTTAGAAGGATAAATAATATAAAATTGAAATAATGCTAAATTTGCAGCAGTGGATTTAAGATGCGTTTTTAGATAATCTCGAGAAGGATGTGATTAAGTGATAAGCTAGAGATTAATCGAATGAAACTAACATCCCTCACTAATTTGCTTCAATAAATAATGAAAGCTTTTAGTGATGAAGTCATTTGACGATGTGATGAACTTATAAAACAGGTTTCTTTTGCCTTATTAGAATTATTAGAATTCGAATAAAAATCGCAATAATTAGTGCAATTATCATAATTATTAACCATTTTTTCTATTACTTTCTGAAAGCTTCGCATCGATTTTTCAGTGAATTGAAGTAAAAAATTAATATTGAGAAAAGTAAGAAAAAATATTAATATGAAAAAGTAAGAAAAAATGCGAATGATATAGGCTGATTTTTGATATTCTGACAAATTTATCACTAAAAAATTGAAAATTGTTAGTAAATTATGCATTTTCGTTCTATAAGAATTCATTTGAGGGGAATTATTTCCTATATGAGTGAATGATTAAAATTTTTTTTGTAAAGTCGAATTTTTATTTTGATTTTTTTATATTTCAAATTAAAAAGAAAAATCTCGAAAAAACGATTTGTATTGATGCTAAATATGTTTTTTTTAAAAATTTTTAATTTCTAAAATTAAATAGAAAATACACCTATTTGCTAGCGTAGAGAAAGAATAATAATTTTTCTATAATTTTTATTTTAAATTATGTAATTTCCACTTGAAAAAATTGAGAACAAAAGTTTTGTGCACTAATCGAGTTTCATTTTCAATAACGATATTTGGTAGTTTTGGTAGTTTATGCTTATTTACTGCATCGCTTATTCTCATCGTATAAAGCCGTTGATCACCTAATATATTAAATTTTTTCATCAATCTATTCATCGAATTTTCTAATTTTTTGTAATTTATAAAGTTCGACAATTGAATGATGGCATTCAATAATTTTCAGTGATTTTTTAGTGATTCAGTAATTCATTTTTTTTTTTTTTTTGAATATTCTTTCTTTAAAAATCTGAGAATCAATAAGTTTGGCGAAAATTTTTGGAAATGTTAAGGAGTGCTTGATTAAATTTAGGTTTGAAAGATTGGTTCATTAAAGCTTTTTCCTTTTTTCCTGGTTCATTAAAGCTTTTTCCTTTTGACTAATTGGATATAAAAATAAAAAAAATTTTTCTCAATTAATTACATATATATATATATAAATAATTTGTAAAAAACTTATTTATGACATCAAACAAATTTTTTCTAAAAATAACGAAATTTAACGAAATAACGAAACTAAATTTGTCTGATTAAAGAGCTTTGTCGTCCCTCCGATTGACCATAAAATAATTTATATTAACCAAGTTATTAACTTTTTTTTTTCATAGATCGCTGAAAAAAATACGCATATGAAAATTTATTTCTTTTTTTTAATGATCTGATTTGCAATTATTATTTAATATTTAACAAATTTTATAGATTATAAAATGAATATTGATGAATTTGTTCACGAAACATTTACATCAACGAATCGCAAATTCATGCGGTAAAGCAGAAATCCCATGTGAGAAGCGAATTCATTCCCTCACGCCTAAACTGAATAGAAATTCAAAAAAATTTTCATCTATTTTAATTATTTTCTTGTTTAATTAACGAAAAAAGCTTGAAATTTTTAATTGTTTTATAACTAATCATAAGTGAAATTAAATGAGGTAAATGGTTAGCTTCACAATTTCTTAGTTTTCGCTGATTGTTAGCAATTAAAAATTTTTGCCAGAAAGTTGTTGATGCAACTGAGTCGCGAGCGTCACTATTTGTACTTTTTTTGTGATGAATTTTTTTCTATTGGAATTGAGCAGCTATGGTACTTGATGCGATTCGAAGCGGTCATGATACTCAACAATCCTTTTCCCCATAACCTTCCTTTTCCTATAACATTGTAACTGAAAACTAAAAGTGAAATCTTCCATTATTATTAGCATATTAATATATTTTCCTTTTTTTAAGAACCCCCACCATTATTGGTTAGACTTATCGCACTAGATAAATAGCTAGACAGTCTCTTAGCGATAGAAATACCAGTATCACCCAGAATTTTGGACAGGTTTACTCCAGCAAGAAGCAGAACTTCAACATGCTTCAAATTGAGCAACAATCCATTGAGCCATTCTATAGTATCATCGCATCAATATATTACTAAACATTGATTTAAATTGATATTTATCACTAATTATTAGTTTATCAGTGATAAATATTAAATATCAAAAAATTTTAAAGAAAACCTTTATTTATTATATACATTTAAATCTTATGAATAATTTTCTAGAGCAAGAGTACATAACTTTAACATTTTATTTTATGTTCGCGTAATATCTCTTTCTCTCTTTCTCCTGCCAAAACCTCCTCAAAAACTGCCTTAGTCAACTGCCTTAAACTACTAACTACTCCAACTCTATTATATTCCATTTACCATTAATCTATTTGTAAATTCTGTAAATCTGTAACATTTGAAGCCCTTATTCTTTATTTAATCGTTTAAAGCGTTTTATTCAATTAATATCAATTTTAATTTGATATTTATCACTAATTACTGTTGTTATTAATAAAACGCAATTTATTAGCAAAATAAAATTGCATTTAAAAAAATTAATAAAAAAATAAAAATTGCATTTTATTTAGTATTTTGCGATGATTAGCTGAAGAAAATAATTGTTTTTTCATTTGCTTGGAAGGTAAAATTGCTTGCGGCATAGGAAACTTAGTGCTACTGATAATTGCATGAAGAAAAATTTATATTGTGGCAATAGCGCTCTGCCATAAAGCACAGGGTGCGCATTAAATTTTTAATAAATAATTGGCTGTTGGTAATTTCTGCAAATAATAAGTAAATTTCCGATGTCTGCAGACTTGAGAGATTTTAAAGAAATATAGAAAATGCTAAGGAAGACGCCAGGTTGCTTTTGACATATCTGATTAAAAATGTAAAAAGTAAAAATAAAAAATATATGACAATGTGATAGAATTTTAAGAGACCTTAGAGGCCTTAAAATAAAATGGCTTTTTATTTTTAAACGAGATAATTAAATGAGCAGAGGATTACTAACAGTGTTCTTGAGAATGAAGAAGAAGATTTAATAGGATTTTTGGATATTGTGAAGAGAATCCGAAGGATCCTAGAAAACTTGAAACAGTCTGAGAAGATTTTAAGAAAATCTAATAAGATTTAGGCATATTTTGCTTTAGCTTTGGCTCAGACAAATGAAAGCATCGCTTGGCTAAGATATTATCAAGTCGATGTTTAAATGAATAAATGAATAAACTTTGAATAAGTCGGAATAAGAGCGACGCGTTTTCATGATTTGCTACTGTAATAGTGAGCTTCATTAACGAATTTTTAAGCTTTCAGAATTATTCTTGCATATTGCCCGATAAATTAGGCGTATTTTTCGATAAACAAGCCATTATATTGGTCAAAGGTTGGTTGATAAAGAATTCAATAGGATTCAATAGGACAATAGCGTTTTAAATAATCCGATATGTAGTAAAAATTCATTCCCTTTTGTCTTTATTCCTTAGACTATAAATTTATAATATTGATAAAATAAGGTTTTAATATATGAATATATGTTAATATAACATAATATATAATATAACATTTTAATGAATTTATTGATGAACTCCTCATTTTTCTTCTAATAGCACTCGACTTTTCGTTTTATTTCTCTATTCTTTATCAAGAAAAGGTATTTCTAAGGAATAGAAAAGCATGGATAGGCAGCATCCTTGGATTTCACTTCTGATAACAAGTTTATTCTCCTTAAGAAACAGAATTCTAAGCCATTAGACCGAAATAACACAATCATTCTGATCCAGTATGAAACGAATATTAATAATGCCATCTGTTCGTTCACCATTTCTTCAACGTTGTTTTTTTTTAGTAATATTTATTTATTTTACAATATTATTATTTTTTATACGGATTCACCTTGATTATCGAACATTTTTATTTTATAATATTGCAATATTTCATAATATTTTATAATAAGTCTTTATTCCTAACAAATAAATGTTTTTATTATTTTTTATTATTATTATTATTTTATCATTTATTTTTTATTATTATTTTTCTTTTATTAACATTTTATTTTGTTATTTATAATAAATTATTTTATTATCAGTTTTATTATTTACTTATTATTATAATATATGTTTTATTATATAGTATAATAATTTATATAATAATATAAATTTCACAATTTTATTATTTATTTTTTATTAATTTCATTATTTATTATTACCTTTTCCCAATTTACTTGTAATATTTTCATTTCACATCGCGCTTCAATGAAATTTTTGCTAAATTTCTTAGAAATTCCGAAGAAATTAGTAAAATGTAAATGTTTTATTTTCTTAAAATTTATTGCATTAAATTTTTTTTTTAAATAATCTTTACAGCAAAAAAATGAAAAAAATCATTAGGAAATAGTCACAAAAAAATGAAAATTCATAAATCATAATGGTGAAAAATCTTAAAGAATACTGAAACTAATTTATACCGTTTTTGCAGATTTCGTTGTACTTGGAATATTCATTTCAGTTAAAAAATAAAGTTATCATTGACCTTCTTAATTATTTTATTTCGGTGAATTCATTGAATTGTGTCATTCACATCAATTCACACTTGATAATTAACTTGAAAATCGCTATCAATGCGTAAATAACTCGAAACTTTTCGAAACTATGTGATTAAAAATATTCGCATGATTGGAAGTTTGGCTACAAGGCAGGAAAAAAGAATTGGAACATCTCTAATTCTGATATGGATTTATATGATAATGATACTAATGATTATGATGATGATGGAGGAATCATCACAACGCGATCGTTTATCTTTGTCATTATCACTCAAATTATCATTGATATTATGAGTATCTCGTTAAATACTATCGTTCTTGTCGTCGGTTTATTTCGAATTACTGGAAGGTAAAATTTTTTTTTCCTATTTTCTTATAATGGCATCTATCATATTGAAAATAAAAATTTGCTTTAATTTTTAGATATAATATAAATTAATTATAAATTGTGCTCAATTTTTCCTTGAAATATTTCTGAAATAAATTTAAATTCTGAAAAAATATTTTTATATTTTTCTTTTATTCTTTTAGGCTATTATCTGAGGATTGAATTTCCATAACAATATAGAAGCTGATTAGCATAATTAGACTGCCATTAATATTATTATAATAATAAATTTGCTGCAAAAATTTAACTATAAAAACTTGGTTCAACAGTTTAAAAACGAAAAATGACAATTATTAAAATGAATGAATATATTAGTGGACAAAGCCGACATTCCACCATTAAACCTTCTTTAAAATTCGATCTCGAATTTTCATGAATTCTTTACTGCTAAAAAATTGCTTATTCAACCGGAATATTATTGTTATTATTATAAAGCAGATAGGTCGCCTTAGCCGAGTCAGTAATAATAATTATAGTAATTAATACTTTTTATTTTTATGCCGCAAATATTGAGTAAAATAATATCAAAATTATAATTTAAGCAAAATTTAAGCAAAATTATAATATTAAGCAAAAAATTAAAAAAGTATTAGTTATATACCAATTATATATTTATTGATAGCTATCGCCATTATTTATCAAACCTGGCATCGGTGGATTTACTTTTCTCGATCGGTTCACTTCTCATGGTTATTGACTTTAATTTCACGTAAGTTTTTCATTAATCATTTTTTTAATTACATGCGATTTTATGATTATTTTTCTACTTTTTTATTTTAATTTTTTCCACAATAATTTTCTTATTAATAATAATAAATAAAATTTAAAACAAATGCATCGGAAATCAAAATTTTTTTCATTAATATAGATTTATTGCAAATACCAATATTTTTATTTTAATCACTTTCCTTTTATAAGAATCAACAAAAACTACCCGCAAGAATTTAATTCTTGCAAATTTAAAAGCTCTACTCTACTCTTTGTTTCCTTCGTAAACACTAAATTTCGCACCAAATTTCCGTTATTTAACCAATGGCGTTTTAATTTCCTCATGTAATTAACATTGATTCCTTATCATCGTTTTTGAGCAATTACCTATTCCAATCGGCTATCGTATAGGGTTTATATCGCATCCACCGAAAAAATAAGAGTAAACATGTTATTAAAAATTGATAGTGATATTAACGACTCAATTATACATCTACTGGCTCTTTGGCGAAAATCTTTAATTCAACTGACAGATGATGAAGCGAGGCTTAGCCACGAATTGCAAGCACTATCCACTCATCTAATCTTCAATGATAAGTGGTGATTTATAGATGATTGTATGATTATCCATGCAAGATATTATCTTTTCAACTTTGTTTCTTCAATGTGATTAATTAAAAAGAATTTAAGAAAAATGAATAAATTCTTCGATGCTTTAATAAATTTTGCCACCCATATAGAAGAAATAATTGAGGAAGGGAATTTAATATGTTATAAATGAAATGAATGAATTAAAGGAGAAAATAATGAAAGAATTTCTGTGAATAAAAAACTTTTCATAAAAAAATCTTATTTAGCAATTTTTTATTAATTTTCCTAAAAATTAAAAATTATTAAATTGTAAAAATTATGAAAAAGAAATTTATTAAAAAATAAATATCTATAAAGTCTTCATTCCATGCAGTAATTTCTTATCAGAACGCTAAAAAACTTATTTCATATTTTAATAAACATTTTTTTTTTTCATTATCCAAATAATAACATTTCAGCTAAATGTTGTAATTTTATGAATTAAATAATTCTTCTTTCGATAAGAATAATAGAGATTCATGAAATCATTTTAGTACTTTACCTATATGGGCAAGAAGTATGCATCAAATTCTTTGCTCATTTATGGTTCCACCAATGAGCGTTGCTCTCGTTCCTATATCAGTTGATCGTTACTTAAAGGTTATGAATTTGAAGAACATAAAAATCACATATATACAAGGAATAATTGATAAATTGATAATATATACGAGGATTTTCATAAATTTCATATTTCAAATATTTAAAAGATCATTTCAGTAATTTATCCATGAAAATAGTTGATTTTGTCAGCTACAAATAAAGATATATATATTTGCGTAAATCTTTAGATAATTATTGATAATTTATCAATTTTAAACGAAATAATTTCAGGTCTGTAGGAAGAGAACCATCGTAATGAAAGTGAAACCACCTATTCCACTTATATGCTTTATAATTGATTCTATTCCTATTATATCATTATTAATCTGCAAAACAATTGATGTTGCGGTAAGAATTTTATTAGATTTCTGCTTTTCGAAGTTTTATGGATTTTTCATCGTTGATTTTTATTCTTCTATTCCAAATTTTTTACATTTTGAATAAAGTAAATCTATAGTAGAATATTCGTTTTTATTTATGTAAATTGTGAATAATTGTAAAAAATTCTCCTCTAAATCATGTAAATTCATTAAAAGCTATTATTTATTTATGAATTATATTTAAATTAATTAATAATAAAATATTATTATTTAGTAAATCCATTAGAAGCTATTATTTTATTATTTTTATGGCATTCCATAGCGCAATTGTCGCATGACTTAACTAATAAATAATTAAGAAAAGAAATACAGAATTAACTAACAAAGAATCAATTTTGTAAAATATTTAATTAGTCAAAAATATTAATTTATTTAAAAAATTATGGCAAAATTGATTAAAATAATTTAATCAACGATCTATAAATAAATCTTTTCAATTAAAGGCATTTATAGATATGAATAGTAAATGGGAAAAAATGATTGAATGGCAATCATTTTTAGATTAAAGTCGAACATCAAAATTCGACTCTAATCTTTTGACGAGTACAAACCTTTATTAAGTGTAAAATCCAGGTAGTGCGCGATATTCGCCTTATTTTTATCCAAAAAAACGACTCCAAGACGAAAAGACTTCTTTATTGGGGTTTAGGAGAACTGGCCAAATTGAAAATGGTGAATTCTGGTACACAACGGTGTATTATATTGCAAAAATAGGTCCCAAATAGTTGTTGAAAATTTTTCACCAGAATTTTTATAGATATTTATTCTAAAAATCAATTTTTTCCTCAGATGAAGATTCAATCATTTTTCTTTTATTCTGATGCTATTTAATGAGATATTTGAGATTTGAGATGAGATCTTTTTAAAAGTCCCGGTCAATGGAATATGTTAATAGGGTAATCTCAAATTCAAACCTGTTCAATAATTCTTTAATTTCAATAATTTTCTTAAATAAATAATTTTTTGCAAGTTTATTTTTTAACATTCTTAATATTTTATTTCAAATCAAATATTTGTAACAGCAATATATTTAATGGAAATCGTTAAAAGTATAATGGTGTGTTGCTTCGAATCGAAATCATATATCATAGCTCCATATGATTTTTATTCCTTCTTATAGGAATATATAAGGCATCGCTCTTTCATTCTCCTAATGGTGCTGGTGCCCCGTTATATCTTTGTTTCCGACTACTAATTAGTAGAATTAATTAAGCCGAAAGTGATGAGCGGTATTGAAAGTAGTCGTCATATTTCTAAATTTAATATTTCACAATCACGGTTTCTTTTATCACTCAGGTAGCACCATCGCCCTCAGAAACAAACCAAAGTCGGTTCCTGGTGGTCATCAAGCTCACCCTCACCATTTTATATCGTTAATACCGACAAGCTTCTTCACGCTCAAGGAATGATCCCGCATCTCAACATTGAAGGATAATCTCGCTACAGTTTTGTGAGATGCTGGTGACTCACCTGTACGCCCTGGCTTATTCGTCTAGTCTAACAAACTAACGAGTTTAATCATTAATGGAGAGTACCCTTAAAAAAAAGATTCATAATAACCATAAGAACAAAATAAATTCATTGCTTAATTCTACTGATAAGATTTATCATTTTTAAAAGCGATAGATTATTTAAAAATATTTTAAGCATGAAATGAAAGGAACTGAAGAAGGAAGAAATACGATGAAATTTTTTAAATTTTATAGATTTCTATTTTATTTATTGTAATTATATTTCCTAATATCAGGATCGAATTACTAATATCATATACACGGTGATTATACCAGTTGGCTCATTATTGATTGTATTTGGCTGCAATATGGCCTTATTTATTACTTTATCAAAGCATGTAACTATTGTTGCGAAGCTTGATAATAGACGGCGTATGAACGAAACTCAGCAGCTAGCACGAGCCACTTGCATACAAGCTATTACTCCATTATTCATTCAGTTACCTTCACTTCTTGGAATATTCAGTATTGTAGGTGCAAGTGTGGTGAGTTTCTTCTTTTTTTATTAAAATTTTCATCCGCTTGAAACGACTGATTAATTAAGATATTTATATGTAAAACATATACTTTATAATAATAAAATATAATCTGAAAAATATTCGCGATAATTTCGACAAATTTGTCTTATATTGCGATGCAACTGGCTTATACCGCACATAGTTTATTCATAATAGATAATGAATTCTGGTGCGGCTCGAACACTCTTCTGGTCCTTGGTGATGAGCTATGTTAGATTTAAAATAACTATATAAGATAACTTGTTCATAAATAAATAGTAAGAAGATTCCTTGCTATGTATAAAATATAAAATTAGCTGTAAATTTTATAAACCTAAAATTTTCAAAATTCTTTTCGGCTTATGCGACAAAATTAATGCTAACTTTTTTAGGATCAAACTATAGTTGTTTGGCACTTAGCGAATTTAATTTGGTTTATGATACTTCTTAATCCGCTTGTTGATGCTTTAGTAACAGCGTTCGTGGTGAAGGCATATCGAAACGAAATAAGGTTTGCTCTATCTATCTAAAAGCTAAAATTTAAATAATTTTATACGCATCGCAATAAGCTTCCATTAATAATTTTGTTCGATATAATGAGTTATAAATTCGATTATTCTAGGTAACTCAACAGCTAAAATCATTGTGTAGAATAGCAAAATAGAAATGATAATTACTTGAATAAAATTATAAATTTCCGAAAAAAAAACATAATGACGAGATAAATACTTTACAATACTTACCAACAACTTTAAAATGCTTAATTATTGTCAAATTTGATCGCACAAATTACCCGAAAAAAAAAAGTTAAATTCGCTATTCCTGCAATGATTTTCTTGATTCAAAAAGTTATGACGAGCGATACGAGAAGTTTTGACATATCAGCGAATGATGTGGCATAATAAGAAAATTATGCGACATCATTTAAATGATCCATATTTTTAAAATTACACCAAAAATTTTAAAATCACCAAGGTATTATAAAACTATTAGAAGAACTATTACTAAACTATTAAAAACTATTAATGTTTGAATATTTTAATTCATTGCTTAAATTAGTTTATTTATTTAAATGAAATTATTGTTATGAAATAAATATTATTTAATTTTGTTCGAACATTTAGATTTTTGTCTGAATTCTTTATGAATTTTTCAGAAAATAAATGAACTATTTGTAAAATAATTTTAGAAAAATATTTGAAACAAATTTGTTGAAAATTTTTCGAAATCAGGAAAGTAAAAGAAATAATGGATGTAAAAATATAACTCGTGGAAGTCTTGTAACTACAGGGAATAAATCTGAAAATAAATCTTCGTTACAATGTGTGGACTTAAAGGTAAATGTTAAAATTTTCGTTTCTTTTCTTTGTTCATAACCAGTGGACCCTTATGCCCTTCTGAGAAGTGGATATGGTCCTCCCAATTCTAATCCAAATGCAAATCCAAATCAAATTCTTCTTCGAGCTAGAAACATGAACCACATACAATGTTAATATTTGCTTATATTATTCGCTTTTTTGCGCATTTTATGCTCTATAATTTAAGGTGCTGACCTATGTAAATGGCGATAATGAAGAAACATTCATATAAAATGGTGTGATGGCAGAGATGCAAACTACAAATTTGTTTGATATTCGCCATGAGCATGTAAATAAATAAATAACAATTTGAAATTATTATTTGAGTTTTTTTGTATTTTAATAAAAGATTTTATTAATATCTCGATAATACAGTTGATTCTAGTAATTATCTATGTAGCGAGGAGATATCAGTGATATGCTTGAAATATGAATGGGCCTACACATTCGGTTTTGCAGAAGAATGGCTAAATTAATTGCTTAAATCTCTATGTTCTATGGCTCAAGCCATGGCTTTTAACCTTGGTCTTGGTCCTCAAAAATCAGCCGTTCTCAAGAAAATTTTACTATATTTATTTGACGAGAATTTTTTGATGCAAAATCATTAGATTATTTCAATGAAATTTGTCGAGTGGTCGCGCTTCGTCAGAAGGGAATATAAGTTCGATACATCCAAATGTGCGAAAAAACAAAAAAAATTATCATCTATAAAAGTTTTCAGTTGAGAAATCAGTGCAATAAGCTAAACCAGGAAGAAATTTCGAAAGAAATGCAATTTTGCACATCCTTATGATTCAAATATAAAGCATAAATTGTGCTCGGAAACTTATTTCACATTTTAGGCGAATATTATTTGTAATTTTTTCGTTTATCTTCGATTGCACATACCATAAAGTCGATTCAATTCTTCCTTCATTTCCACCTGTATTTCATCTTTTTCTCACATTCTTCATTCATGCTTTTGTCATTATGAAAAATCTGGTTCAGTGAGCATTTTATCATGGTGATTTGTAGACAAATATGAGAAGATTGCTGAAATAAAGAGGCAAAGAGAACAAGAATTTCTAGATTGATCATGAAAATCCGATCGTCAAAAATTGTAGCTTTGTGTTTTGTGTTAACGATAGTCGCTCGAATTAGGTCGTAGAGCGAATAATCTAACGCTAAATGACATTCTAATTTCGCTATAATGTCCGCAAAAACGAATCATTGAGGTGAATAAGGAAAAATTCTATGCAAAAAATTCGGATACTTTTATAACAAATAAAATAACTAACAATGGAACGAATCCCTCTTTTTTTTCCCAATTATCTTTCTTTCCTCTTCTTCTGTCCTTAATATTTTATCTTTGAAATCCTTTTTCTACCAATAATTTTCATATTAAATATTCATATTCATATTGAATTCATATAAAATATATGTAAAATCTCGAAACGGATGAGAAATATTTGTAATAAAATACCTTAAAATAGGTCGACATAAAAAAGGAAATATAATTTCAGGTTAAAAGTGAATTAAACAATAATTTCCTCTATTTTCTATAACTTCGCAAAAAATTTGTAAATTAAATTTTAAGATTTTAAATATGAACCATAATTTAAAATTATTATTAGAATTTAAAATTCTATACCATAATATTTCAATTAATGAAGGATTTTCACCTAAAACTGAAGCTTTAAAAATTTTTTTGCGTTTGCTTACGAATATATTTAGCAATAAACGAGCTTTATGGATCTAATGTGTCTTAATTTATGATTCCATGCTTCGTTTTAAAGTATAGCACAGAATACAATTTAAAGATAGGATATGCGAGTGTTTTGTCGCTCAAATCATGAGAATCGTTGATTGAGCTGTAGTCTTGACAAAAGCAAGCCTATCATTAGAAAACGCAGATTATACTAACGACCTATATTTTTAGCGACAAATGATTCACTAGCGAAAAAACTTATATATTTGTGATTTCTGGTCGTAAAAAGATCAAAGGCACTATTATCACTATGGCATATACATTCGCAATCGGAGTTTTAGTTAGAGGATAGTCAAAGTGAACGTCTAAAATTCCCTTCATAGATTCACAGAAAGAGTTTAGAATCGCCTAATCCTAAGCAGTTTGCGGTTTTTCATAAATATTTTATTTTCGATCAAATTCTTCACCAGAAACCTATTTTTTTAATTAAATTTCTTGTAAACCTATAATTTTAATTCGTTTAAAACAATTTTTTAACGAGGGTGTAATTTTTATTTTACGGTAAAAACTATTCATTTGACAAATCCTAAACTTGTTGTGCAATGCTTTTATTAGTTGGAATTTGCAAAAGCATTTGACGGGTTTGCAAAAATGCATCGCAATATAACAAAAAAAAAATGAAATTATTCGTCAAAATGCGATATTAATCGAACAATCATAATAATGAAAATATTTAGCAAATATGATATAGCAAAATTTGATTAAAGGATTTGCATGATTGCATGGTAATTTTTTTACCATTTATCGAGTTATTCGATTTTTTTTTATTTTTTAGAGACAAAATTCTTAAGAATTGAAGAAATATAGTGTGGTGTTAAAAATAATTGTTCATTGATAAGTTGATTGATTGATAAGTTACGGGTTAACAAAGTTATAATAGATAAACAAGACAATAAGGCAACTCATCTGAAATATGCATAAAAATTTATTTTATGGATTCAGTTCTTTTTATCAGTGAACACTTTAAAAAACTGTGGAGCCATTTTATCAACAAAATGGTTTCTCATTTTAATAGCTCGCATCATACGTTATGCAACGCTGATTAAAAATAAAAGCTTCTTAATATCTTCCGCGCCCATCATAATTACTTATCAAACTTGTTTTCAGATCGTTCTTCATTAGCCTTAATAGTTTATTCCACAAAAATGCGAATTTTGTTTATATAATTTATATGTATAGAAAGAAATTTGAAGAAAAAAAATATCTTTTTCACAAGCATATAGAAAGAGATTTTTATGAAATTGAAAATTTTCACGAATATTTCTTAATGATCGAAAATTATGAAGTTCATATATAATTAAGACCTTTTAAAAACTAAATGATAATTTACATATCGCATATTTTTTTATTTTTATTCTTTCAAAAGCGCGAACCATTTTTGGTTATTGTAGTACCACTGGCCGATAGGGCAGAACTGTTCCATTTGGTCAAAAAGTCAATGTGAATGACAGAGACATAAGCGCAATCTCTCCTCAATCTATATTATTTGCTGAAATTGTTGGAATAAACTATTGAATATAACCATCAAAAATCATCGTTTTTTACAATTGGCCAAAATAGATTTGTGGAAGTTTTGTGGAAGACAAATAAAAAATTTTAAAATAATTAAATAAAGGATCGGATGTATTGCATAAAATTTGATTGGTATCGTGATGGACATCGAATTTCGTCGCATTGTTTTACTCGAAATTTAAAAGGGAGAGAAAAAAAAGAGAGATACAACTGATTAGATGGGATGATACTCGATTCTGAATTGGCGCTCGAATTTGAATTCTAAAAAAAAACCGGAATTTGGAATAAAAATGTTCAAGCAAACAATTTCTGAATTTAATACGCATCTCTTCCTTATGCATTTAAAATTTCTGGTATTCGTTTTAATTTTTTACCTTTTGATAATTCGCTTTCTTTGATTCCGATTTGACGCTTCCCTTTTTCCTATTTCCTCTTTATCATTTCACCTTTTATGGACCATAAAAAATGGATATTTCTGCGGCAAATTTCATTGTCTGCAAATTATATCACTTGAAAAATGAAAAAATAATTTTTAAAATTTTTCCTTAAAAAAATTTTTTCTTTTTAATATTATATTTCATTCCGATTGAATAATTAAAATATTTTTTAAGTATTTCTTTGTTCGTTTTTTAATTGCAATTTTCCGATCAACTTACTTTTCGTCTTTTTTAATGCTTTTCTTTATTCCTCATTTTCATTCGATTCATTCATTTCAAAGTTTTTCTTTGTCACTGATCTTGAACTAAGACGATTGGTTTTCATCTTTGTTCATTCTTTGTTCCAGATTTTAAAAAAAAATTTCCTTTGCACTCCTTCTTTGTGGGTCTTTCTTAATCCATTCCAGGTTAAGTATAAGTAGGATTCGCAATATTTTAACAGTTTCTGATGCCACGCTCTTCTGCGCATCAGACATCATCGGTGCTGTTCCTGGAACCTATTGGGACCAATTCTCCAGCTTACGCGTTTCATAATTTCGCGTTCTTGGTATATATTCATATACAAAAATATATATTCATATTTCAGCTTTTCCTGCACGATATACAAAATTTCAAGAAATATTCTGTTTAATTTCTTAGTGGTAATTTTAATAGATCTTAAACAAAAATTTTTTTATTCGATTTAATTTTTCACCTTAGGCTTTTTTACTATTTGAGGCATCCGTTTTTTTTTGAGATTTATCATTAAAATACCTAACAATTTAATTTTCCATGATAATTTTTATCTTTTATCAAAATCTTTCGAAATTCTCGAGTTGTTTTGCAAAAGTTTTTTTTACTTTAGGTTATTGGATTATGAAGCGGCGATTGTTTTAAGGATTTTAACCCTATTTTTTCGATTCGAAAGAGTATTGCCGCTTTTATATTCGATTTTTTGTTCGGTTCTACTTTTTTTGCCTAATTTTTTTCTTTTTTGCAGAGCATTTTTTGGATTTTTGTTTCCTTAAATAATAATTCATAATTAATTTTGGTTTTGGCTTATCAGAAAGGAAAATGTGCAAGTGGAGTTTCTGCTAGGTTATTTTTTATAAGTTTTATTAAGCATAAGTTTATAAGTTTTATTTGTCTTATGTAAAATATGAATATGTTTGTATAAAATAGTAAAAAGCAAAAATTTAAAATTTACAATGATACATACTTGGATGATTTATAATTTTCACTCTGTCAAACTATCTATTTCTTTGAGATTTAATAAATCAGCTGATGATAGAGGATGAAGTATTTCAGTGGGAAATTGTCGGAATCGGAATTCAATTTTGCTTTCTTCTCAGAAGCTTCAAAATAGCAACAACTATTGACTCTGATTAAAATAATCTGAATTTGATTTGGTGTGCAATTTCGCGAAAAAAAAAAAACTGGTCTAGTTTTATTCTTGAAATATTTCAAAATAAGTTTTATTAGTTGCAACTGAATGAGTAATGTTCCCATATTAATCCAAACCAGTTGCAATCGCTCTTGTCCCTCGAAAAATTTTTA